TACAATGAGTATAATAATACACAACCTCCCCAAGAACAAGAAGGAGATGGTACTACTTCTCTTGGGGTTCCACCCAGTCCTATGAGCAATGATGCTGACATTAGTTGCCTCATTGACCTGGACCCTATATTCTCCTAACTCCCGGGCAGCCACACTGGCCTCCACCCTCTCCCTTGCACGGTCTAAGCATGCTCTGGCGCAGGGCATTCTTGCTTGATGTCCTCTCTGCTTAGAAAACGCCATCTCCCTCCATCCACAAAGGTCATTTCCTCTCTACCTCTCCTGACCCCTCATCTAAAATTATAGCTCCCCCCGCCCACCTCCCAGTTACTTTCTATCCTTTTCTGAGCTTTATTTTCCTGCACAGCACTTTTCACCACCTCCCAGGGTATCCGGCTACTCTTTTGTGTATTCCGTTGCCACTCTAGACTCTAAGCTCTTTGAAGGCAGGGACTTTGTTTTGGCCTCTCCTGTACCTTCAGCACCTGGAACGGTGCCTGGTGCACAGTAGGAGCTCACTAAATATTTGTTGAGTGAATAAATAAGCAAACATGTAGAACAAATGGCAGGCTACAAAAGTATGTGTGGATGACAAGAAGATTGGCTTGGTTAGGTGGAAGCAACAAATGATGCTTGGCCATAAATTAAAATTCAATACATCAGACAATCGGAGATTTCATGGGAGCCTATAGGTATGGTGTCAGCTGGGGTGTCTGAGGGGCAATCTAGGAAGGTGATGAAGGATTCATGAGAAAAACGAGGCAGGTTGGGTCTGAAACACTTCCCCAAGAATTAGTAAGAAGAGCCTCTGGAAGGACAGGGGCGGCCGTCATCCCGTAGCTGGCTGATGTACACTCCATGGAGAGTGGAACAGCACAGGCTTTTTCTGACCCACACAGTTACTTTACTAGCACCTGAAAGTGTGGTGGCAGGTACCTCACCACGTGCAAAAAGTGACCATCAGCTGCCACTCAAGAGCATTCACAAAACTGAGCTGGAGTTTAGCATTGGCCCTCGAGCTGGCATTCTGAACACGGACCTTTTTTTTTAAGAATGAATGACATTTTTTCATTCTAGGTCCACAGTCTCTGCATGACCCTTCTACTCTTAATAGTTGTCCCTACAAGAATTCCACCTGCCGACACCTGGTTGAAAGGTAGGGCTAAAGCAGATGTTATCACACACCAACTCTGAGCTCAGCAGAGCACCTGACACTTAGTAGGTGCCCAATCCATGTTTGGGGAATTAAATGGAAGGGAGCTATTTCTGCAAACAATGACACTGGTGCCACCTGGTATGGGGATGAAGCCCATTCAGGCACAGGGAATTGAAAAACTGAGTTCCTCTTTCCCACCAGAGGCTGGTCCAGAGCATACTCTAGACTCACGCACACTTCTCTGTTTGGGGAAGTTGTCCTTACCTTTCCCCTTCATAAAAAATCTTTCTCTCTCTCTGTTTCCTTATTGTCTCTCTCTCTGTCTCCCTCCCCCATCCCTAACTCTCAAAAAGAGTACTTGTACCTGAATTTCAGTCTTCACAGAGAGAGAGAAATCAGTAACAGCCTCCCTGTGATGAATCTCCTGGAGAGACTCAACAGACTTTTGAGGGGAGAAGAGCTGTAATTTCCCTCCAAGTAATTCGGACTATCAGGCCCTCACCACAGCTTGTTCCGAAAGAGAGCACGGAGCAGGCAGCTCGCTGGGGCTGTTATAATTGTAGAGCCTGATCAAAGACAAGACAGAGGGAAGGAGAGCGAAGCAGGGAATCATGGGGCTTGTGTGAACCCCACCCGCTCAGAAGGGGGCTTCTCCAGAAGAAAGGAAATTGGCAGCATCCACTGTGAAAAGGGCAAGGCTTGCTTTCGGTTGGTGGTAAATGACAAGTGATATCTGCACTCTTTTTTAAAAATTATTATTTTCCTAGAGCTTTGGGGCCTGATGCATGAGGGCTAGAGGGCAGATGAACTGTCCTTGTGGGTCTAAAAATGAGATGTAAGCAAGCTTGTGGTTAAAAAAAAACCTAAAAAACTAATCTTGTTCAAAAGCCAGATTATCCAACAAAACTTGTTTTCTTCACTTGCAGTGATGTTAGTTTGATAAAGCTGTGGACTTTCAGTCAGAGTTTAGAATTTTACAACTTTACAATAAAAAAAAATAGGTCAACCCTAAATGTCAAAATATAGTCTAAATCGTCTTAGCTGCCCTGAATTTTGTAATTTCTGTGGGTGAGTGAAGCATTTTCCATGCCTATATATATATTTAGTTAGTTATATATTAAATATATATATTAGGACGATTAAATATATAACCCAGTAACCCTAGGAGGTAGGTATTATTGCTATCTCCTATTTTAAAGATGAGTACACTGAGATTTAGGAAGGTGAAATAATTTCCCAAGGTCAAAGGTTGATCTTCTCTGAAGCCCAGATTCTTCTCCCCTCTGCTCTTTGCAATGTGGCAAGCATGCCTATGCATATGAATAACTCCAAATGCTTCTTAAAATGCAGATTCTGGGGCACCCATCTCAGAGATTCTGATCCAATGCGTTTGTTCGTATTGCTGGGAATCTGCATTTATGACAACATGCAGAGGTTATTCTTAAACAGATGCTACAGTACCTCACTTTGAGATTAGGTGCTCCAGGGGCTATTAAATATTCAGCATCCTCCTAGTCAAGTCCTTTTATTACAAGAGTGAGGCACTGACCCCCAGAGGTTAAACAACTTCCTGGAGGCCAGTCCACTACCAAGCCAGCTGGCCCAGCATTCTTTCCACCACATTCCAGTGGAGAAAAAATTCAAGTCTCTTAGAAAGCTTTGTTCTCCCCCTAGTCTTTCAGTTCTGCAAGCAGCCAAACTCCCCTAGAGTATCAAACAATATGTTCAAGGCCAGAGCGGAAAAATCACACCACTCATTCTAAAAGGCTCAGTGCTGCGTGCCCACGTACTGCCAAAATTAGAAGCGGTGAAAATCACTTAAATATTACTTTTCTTTAATTGTGAGAATATCAGTGTGTGAAAATTGCCATGTGTAAACTTAAGAGTTGTTACAGCTTTCTAAAAAGCGAGTTTGCCTTTCACTGCCATTCAGCGAGGACTGGTCCCCCTCTTACACACCCCCATTAAGCCCTCAGCACAGTCTTAGACCCACGTAAGACCTAAAGGTGGCTCAGAACTGGTTCTTAAGGGTAGATGTAAATGGAAGGCTTATAATTCTATGAGATTATCATGGCTACACTTCCTGTGAAGCTGCCATTCACTGAGGTATTCCTCTGAGATTGGCATTTTCTCTCTGTATTTACCCAGTTTGTGTTGAATGAGCCAACATCCAGATTGGTGGCTTAATGCCAAGGTTTGGTAAACAATTGTTCCCCTGTTTGTGGGCTTATTCATTTATTTCTGGGTGTTCCCTGCCAGAATCTGTCCTATCAAGTCCCTTAGAGGGAGGCCTAAAATACGCTTGCACTCTGCATTTTAGGCAACTCCATTAATTCATCGCTGGTGTCACGGCAAGCTTTCGCACAGGGGTTGCAAAAATCTTGATTATGCAAATGTGTTGTTGTGTATTTCTTAACAATACGCTGGTACAACTTGCCTTGACTCATAGTAGTTTTATCACACAACCGCTCAGATCCGTGAGGTTTCTAAGTGTGCTTGGTTCTGTTACTGCGGCAACCTGCCCCAGTGGATTCCTCAGCTATAAACTTCACATCTGAGCGACACAATGTGTGCGTGAAGGGGAGGACTGTTTTCCAGAAATACAATGTTTGGGTTGAAGCGTCTGACAAAGGGACGTGAAGAACCAGAACAATATGGGGTTTTAAATTAGGTCTTTAAATTCAAGATGACACTTGAAATACCACCCTCTTTCTTGCAATCTGGTGCTCTTTTTTCTTTTTCCAGAAACGACAAGCGTCCCTGCGCTAAGTCTCAGGATGCAAAACAGCTGAGCGGCACAGGGAAGTTTTGTTCGCTACTCCATAGCCATCCTGTGAACAGGGCACTCGATGGAAGCAGGGGAGGGTTTTAGCAGTTGAATGAAGCCACTTAACAAAATGTTTCATGGGCCTGGGAGTTGTTAGTTAATGAGATAAATTCCCCTCGTATGGCAGCTCTTTCCTGGGAGTTTTTGGCCCTTCTGGAAGCAGTACAAACTCTTTCAGGCCGTTGGGGTTCCGCAGAATTATTTCATGCCCTTGTGGGAATTACTTTATCATTTTAAATCAGAGATCAGCAAACATTTTCCATAAAAGGCCAGATAATAAATATCTTCAGCTACGTAAGCCATATGGTCTCTGTCACAACTATTCAACCCTGCCATTGTAGCAAAAATTAGTAAGAGATAATATGTAAACGAATGGGAGTGTCTCTGTTCCAATAAAACTTTATTTACAGACAATGGAACTAGGATGCCATGTAATTTTCAGGAATTACTAATTAATGTTCTTTTTTTCCTATATTTTTTCAACCATTTAAAATCTATTCTTAGCTCATGTGTCAGATAAAGACAGGCAGTGGGCCATAGTTTTCCCATCCTTGCTTTAAACCAATTGACTGATAAAATAGAAATACCAGCATAGTCATCAGTTTCCCTCATTTACCTAATCCTTAGCAAGCCCTCAAAAATGTCAGCTATTACTGAAATAATTAGTCAGTTGGGACACGTTTGGGAATGAAGGTCAGCACGCAATTTTTCTATGCATAGGAAGAATGCTGGTAAACTCAGTGGATTTGGTGGTGGGATCAGAATTGATTTCTCTGACGTCCCACTTCCTAGAAAAGCTTAGGGTCTGAACTAAAATTGTAGAGTTTTCAATGTGAACTCTGAAACCCCTTGGCGGCGTGGTACCAACCGCTGCCCCCGCCAACCCCCGCCGCCCTGATATACTAACCTTCCCAGTGCTGTGGGGAGACACGTCTGCTCTCTGGTTTGCCCGTCATCCCTGGAAGGGTAACTTTCAGAACAGACAGAAGAGGAAAAGCTACCTCCAGAGCTTGGGTGATGGCAAGTAAGGATTTTCTTTTCTTCTTCACTCTGATCCACTAACTTGCAAAGATCCTTTCTCTACCAGGGAAGAGGATGAGAAGCTGGTGTGGCACTCAGGCTCCTAGTTGTAATGTTATGTGATAAAGGTGCTTCCTAGACAGAGGATACCTTGATAAAATGAGGGCAGGGTTTCTTTTCCTCTATGCTTGATTGTCTAATAAACTTCATTTTATTCTTCCCTGTCATTTTCCTCCTCTATTCTTTCTCCTTCCTCCCATTTTTCCTTTCTCCTTTCTGCCTTTTGAAGTCATGCTTTGATATTCTGATGAGTTCTGCACCCTTCCCACTCCAAGTGTGACCCTGTGCAAAAAGCGACAGAAGCACTGGGAGCTTTTCAGAAATGTGGGATTTGGGGCCGCACCCTAAACCTACTGAATCATAATCTGCATTTTAACAAGATCTCCAGGGTGTGCACTGTAAAGTGTGAGAGGCCCAAGTCCTTACAATACCCTCATCGCTCCAGAGGGAAAAAAAGCTCAAGACAAAGCTCAGGCTTAAATAGATTCCGGAGGGAAGTAAAAACTTGACCTTCCAGAGGTTATTCATATCTGAGGAGAAAAATGGAGAGTAGTAGTCAAACTTTAAAGTGAACAAGTGACAGCCCTACTTGGGTGAGCCTCGAAGGATTTTTCCCTCTAGCCGTCATCCAGGTGGAAACAGGTTATCCAAGACCAGAATAGGATAGTTAAGGACACAGAGCCTGGAGCCTTAGAATAGCGCCCCAGCTCCAGTGAAGGGAGATGTGGAAATGATACCAGCACACATTCTGTGGCTTGGGCTGCGGGTAACAGAGGCCGCTTCACTGCAGAGAGAGGTCAGAGGACGGTGTAGAGGGCAGAGGCATGCCTTGGCATTCTGGAATAAACAGTCAGTGGTGTGCTCTCTGGGGGAGGGGGGAGGGGGAGGGGGAGGCGGAGGGGGAGGGGGAGGGGAGGAGGGCTGGGGAGAAAGCCTTTGATTTGGAGCATTTACCAGTTTTCATGGCGTACATAGTCCTACCTTGGCTGATTTTAAACTATCAACGTGATATCACTGAAGGTGGAGTTGGGAAGAGACACACAGTAGCACACCATACAGATACAAGAGAGGTCAATAAACTCAGAAATGTAGTAAGTTGTAATAATTAGAAACTGATTAAAATAATTTCCTCTTCTTCAATTAGAAACTGAGTTGTACTTATTACCTTTGTTTTTAATATAACTAATTTAACTGTGAGTTTATATAATTTAATTTTTAGTAATGGCTGTGTTGAACAACTAGGTCCAGATATTCCCGAGAATTGTCTCTCATGAGACAGTACAAGCAGGCTCCAGCACATACCCTTAAAAAGGGCATTTTTCTACCTAGAGGGGTGGGATAGGGAGGGTGGGAGGGAGACGCAAGAGGGAGGAGATATGGGGATCTATGTATATGTATAGCTGATTCACTTTTTTATAAAGCAGAAACTAACACACCATTGTAAAGCAATTACACTCCAATAAAGATGTTAAAAAAAACGGGCATCTTCCACAACTTTGGACTGTAAATGATAGGATGCCTCAAAAGATAGCTGCACAATACATTTGGGTATCATTCATTCACACTGATGTCCTAGCAAGCCTCTGTTCACAGATGGCCTTCAAACGAAAAAAAAAAAAAGATCTGTAGTATTTCACTCTTACAGTTCATCCTACAAACTTCCGTTAAACTTTCTCAAGAACGTTTTATAGGTGTCCTCTGTATTGAGTTCTAGTTGAGAATTTTTCAGTTTCCAATTGGAACATTTCATGTGACTTATTACACCCATGAGTTAACACAGAGAAGTTCCCAAAACACCATTTTAGACTGGCTTCAACTCTTCATTCACAAATTTTTAATGCCTGTCGCTCAACAATCATAATGCCTTGGCTTGAGTTTCATCTCATCTTTCCTCTTCTTCAATTTTAGCCAAAGGAAAATTGACAGGCAGCACCCTCACAGCAGTAAGGAGAGTGAAATGAGCTTAAATGGTATAAAGCAAATAATCAGCTTCCTATAACACAGCTGACCATTAATTTCCTTGGCAGGATCCAGAACTTTTAGGACATTTCCAAGAATCCTTTCTCGTATTTGCCTGGTGTTACGGATACACGGGACAGAGTGAGGCCACCTGGTGCCTCATTCCAGCTCCCTCATTAACTGCCCCCCCACCCACCCCCCACCCCACCCCCCCCCCCCTCCCGTTTACGTCCACTGAGCCTAAGTTTGCAGCCTGTAAAATAAGGGGCTGGTAGATAACGTCTAGATCCCTTTCAACTCTTAAAAATAATTTATTCTGGAAAACAAAAATTAATTGGAAATAGGATAAAAAGAAAAAAAAATCCATGAAGGAACAACTTGTTGCTCATTTGGGCGGTCCGCCTGGTCTTTCTTTGATGGATGCCACCATTTTAATTCTCTGAGAGAAATATGCACACCCATCCACCCTCTTTCCTTACAAGGTAACAGCTCTTAAAATGCACCTTCCATAAAAATGATTTGCATGACCCATTTCGCGGCTGCTGAGCTGTTTATGATCCTAAAAGTCTGGTTTTCTTCACTGAGTGGGCTTCTGTTTGCGTGCCCGTCCCCTCCAGGGTCTCCCTGCGCCACTGCAGTCTGCTGCCAGCCGGGCCGCCTCCACCGTCCACCTGTCCTCAAGCGCTGCTTCCGCCGGCGGGACTCCTACGGTCGCCTTCCTCGCAACCTCCTTCTACACAGTCCCCACGGGGTCTGTAGCCCCAAAGCCAACAGCTTGAGCGCCCGGCTGAGGCAGCAGGGGTGGGGACGTGCCCCACGATGCCTTGGAAAGGAAAAAAAAAGAGGTCCCCGCCGGATGCTGGCGCCTAGGGTACTTTTAAAACCAGCGTGGCCAGGCAGCAGTCTCCCCTCACTAGGCTCGGGAGAGGGCAACCCAGGTGTCCTTTAAACGCCTCCGATCTTGCAGGTCCCGGTTACAAAAGTCCCATTGCCGCCCAGGTCCTATCCGCGTGATGGGCTTTACGGTGGCGACGGTTCCGGGCCACGGCCCTGGTGTCGAGCGCCTCCTGCCGAGCCTTTAAGTGCGCGAGGCGGGAGAGGCTGGAGTCACTGAGGGCGGCGGGGGGAGGGGCAGCGCGCAGGGCCGAAACGCACGTGCGCAAAGGGCGCGGCGAGGAGCGCTCGAGGGCGCGCAGGGGGCGGCCCGGCCTGAGGAGCGCCGTGCGGCGCGCGCCGTGGGCTGCCGACCTTCCCAGGCCGCTGCAGAACAGAGACGTGTGCCCGCGCCTCAGAAGGGCTGGAAAGAGGGATTCAAGGTAAAAACAAAGAGACAAACGGGAACAAAGTCTTTTACCCGGCAGGCCTGGCGATTCCCACGCTTGGAGGCGGCTTGGACGACGGGCAGTGGGTGGGCGGGGAGGAAGCGGCTTTCTTCTGGGGCCGCTTAACTGCTGTCTTAACCAGGTCTCGTGCTGCTACAGGACTAGCTTTTGTGTTTCAAGAGACCGCGAAGGTGGTCGCACCCCAGGGCAGAGGTAGGAATAACGGGATGAGCGGGGCGTTCGGCACAGAGCTGGTTTGGTGGTGATTCGCAGGGGAAACTGAGAGTTCCTGGGAGCCGCCATATAGGCTTCCGGAAAGTGGGCCCCTTGGGAGTTCCTTAGCGCTGGAAGAGATCTTAGCAGCCGTCTGGCTGAGCCCTCGTGCTGCTCACAAGAGGATCTAGAAGCCCAGAGAGGTGGACAACTTGCCCGAGGCTCCACAGCTCGTTTGGGGGCAGAGCTGGAGATAGAACCAGTTGTCGAGAGTCTCGTCCTAGGACTCTGCCCACTCTCCCTCAAGGTTGCATCTCCCGTAATTCTGGAGAAAACAGTAGGCGCTTTTTTCTAGGGTAGTGTATGGAGGGATGGGCTGGGGGAGGCGGAAATGCGGTCCATGATTCTTTACATCCTCACCACCAGAGCGAGATTCCACAAACTGAACTAGGAACCCACAAAGGTTCCTTCCGGAGCGGTTACCCAAAGACAGTGTTACCATATAATTTATCATTAAAAGCAGAATACTCTTAAGAATGGAAGGGAACCCTATTAATAACTTTGCCCAGACAGTCTGATATAAGCCCATACTGCCTGCCGCAAACCAAGACTTAAGGTCACCCCTCCTGAAGCGCATTTTTGGAACTACAGTTTAAAGAGCACACACTGTCTCTCAGCAGGTGATGGGCAAGACATTCTTCAGTATCAGTTACAGCACCTACTGTGTGTGCGTCCATCAAAAACAAACCAGAGGCAGCTAAAGGCTGGGACTCAGGCTTAGTCCCTGGTGCCCTGGGGGATGCCTGTCCCCAGATGCCCACCCATCTCAACATTGTTTTCTGCTTTCCATCCCAACCGCCACTGTCTGCCTTTAGGGCCCCATTACCTATTATTGGGTCTTTCTGCCTCTCCCATCACCACCCTAACCAGGCTATCTTGCTAAGAAAAAAATTCCCTGCAGTGTGCAGAAGTTTACATTTGGTCCTACTGGTTTCTCTAATGTCATCCTCTGCTCCCCAGACTCTCTCATTCATGGACCCTCAGGTCTGCCAAGCCAAGACCTGCAGTGCTCAGTTCCTCCAGGCTATCTCACCCTCCGTGCCTTTCCCCATGCCATTCCCTCTTCCTGGAATGCCTCCCTGGGCCCCATTTCCCGTCTGCCTCGTGAAATCCTACTTCTCCTGTCAGCGCTGAGCCCGAGCACCACTGCCCAAATACTCTGGTGCTCCCTTATCACGTGGTAAATGTTTGTTTAAAGCTGCTTCTCCCTAATAGATTTATGGGCTTCTTGGGAGCAATTTGGTCATCTTTGTTATTATTCATCACTGCTGTGGAGTAACATTAAGAATGCTGTTTTTCCCTCTCCTTTTCCAGAAAATAATGTGATTTTAAAGTACTAATCCATTTTGCTTTTCCTTGTTTGTGCAAAAATCTTTTAAAATTTATTTTACTGGCATGATTATGTATAAGACTTCAGTAGAAGAAAATTTTCACTATTTGAGTTTGTTTTCTGGCCATTTATCATTTGTCCCATTTCATGGTTATTACTGAAAATAATATTGTTGTATAGAGAAGGAGTGCTGAAAAGCAATCCTCTCCAAGTGTCAAATGCACTAGGTCCCTTTGGGCCAAGCATCTCAAGGCCTGGGAGGGGTTTGGGTTTCTTCCTGAATTTCCTTGCTTGGATTTTGGTACAAGGCTCCTCATTAGTCTCCCTGGGTGCTTCCTTCATGACCAGCCTCCACCTGCCCTGCAGCTCCAATCTTCCACATGACCTCCAGAGGGATCGTTCTAAAATAAAATCTGATTATGTCAGTTCTCTGCTGAAAAAAAAGTCAGTGACCCACTAGGTAGACACACCAACCAATGGTCAAGAATGTGACTACCTAGGTTTGATTTCTGGATTCACCACTTGTTAGTTGTGTGACTTTGGTTAAGTCATTTGACCTCTCTGTGCCCTGGCTTCCTTATCTGTAAAATGAGGGTAATAATAGTTATTTTATAGAGTTGTGAGGATGAAATGAATTGAGTTCACATTAAGTGCTCATACCAAAGCTTGGCACAGAATAAGCACTTGATATTAATTATTACAATCACTATTATTACCATTATTTATGTGAGATAAAATCCTAAGTTCTTAGTGTGCCTTACTAGCGACTCTCGAGCTGACGCCTGTCAAATTCTCCAGTTTCATCTCCCCTTTCCCTCCGATTCTGGTCAGACCTCACCACGTGTTCCGCAACCCCATTCTGTTCCTACCTCTGTGCCTTTGCACCTGTTCTCTTTCCTTCAGACCTTTCCTTCTTTGTCTTCCTGGACCACAGGCAAATATGCCCCCAGGTTTCAATATGACTCAAGACCACTCTTTGCAGTCCCCCTGCCCCTGCCCCCATGCTGGTGGAGTGGACCTTACACCTTCTCCTATCATATTTCAGAATTTTTCATTGTACTTATTTGTTTCCAATGCTTGCCTCCCATCCTAAGCTATTACTGAGGAAAAGAACTGCTTTTTTTTTTTTTTTTGCGGTACGCGGGCCTCTCACTGTTGTGGCGTCTCCCGTTGCGGAGCACAGGCTCCGGACGCGCAGGCTCAGCGGCCATGGCTCACGGGCCCAGCCGCTCCGTGGCATGTGGGATCCTCCCGGACCAGGGCACGAACCTGTGTCTCCTGCATCGGCAGGCGGACTCTCAACCACTGCGCCACCAGGGAAGCCCAAGAACTGCTCTTTGTCTTTGTGTCTCCAGTGCTCGCTACAGTGCTTGGTGCAGAGCAGCCATTAACAAATGTTTCTTGGGTGACTGCATGTCCCTCCCAGCTCCTTCAATTCCTTAGCATCTTCCTGTTTCCTAGTAGCATAACTAGACTAATGACACTCAGCAAGGAGGAAATTTAATATTAAAATAACCTGAAAATAGACTCAGAGTTGACTCACGTCTGTACCTCTCTTTCCCTACCCCAAGCATTTGACTTTGGAAATCTGATCTGGGAAAAGTATGATTATTAATTAAACACTCTCAGGCTGTCAGAACACTACTTTTTGCTACCTTCATAAATGCGTAAGGCTGAGAGTTTACTAGTTCGGCAATGTCTTTTAAATGAGATGAACATGTTTGCTTGCATGAAATATTTATGTTTCTTAGCGGCACGACTTCAAAATATTCTGAATCAAACTTCTTGAGATCTGCCTGCAGAGTTTCTGTTCACTCTCCCTTAAAGTGGAAAGAGGACATGGTAATAAAATAATGCATAAGAAGGAAAGCATGGGAAACTTTTTTATTTAGAGAAATGCTCTTCTTCTATGTGATTAACTCAAAGTTTCTTGCTTAATATAAAAGGGGAGAGACTAGATTGGAATAGATGATCTCTAAGTATCCTTCACAGTTTTCCTCTAAACTTTGACAAGAAAATTCTTGTTTGTCGTCAGTAAAAGGAGCTAACTTTTAAAGTGCAATTAAAAATATATATTTATATATACATTGTAAAGCAATTATACTCCAATAAAGATGTTAAAATATGAATATATATATATTTCTGTTTGGTTTTTGGAGGGTTGCTATTTATTATTACATTTATTTGAAGTACACTAGAAAAAAATCAAAATTTGATGAGAAAATTCTTCCTGTATGTCTACAGACAAATATATTTATAAAATGCATCTGCCAATAATTTGATTTAAGAAGGTTTCAGCTCCAGGGAGCCTTGACAAATGACTCCCTCCCTCCAAGCTGTTTGGCAAATTTGTTTCCCCAGAGCTTTAGAACACAACATATAATACTGCCAGACCAACCAACCAACCAACAAACAAAACACCTTTCTACAGTTAAAAGTAATACCTTTTTCGGAATGGTGTTAATTCCCATGCATAGCTGTTACCTTGGAATTCACAGTTTTTCAATTCTGTCTAAAATTTATCAATTTTTATTAAGACAAGGAAGCATAAAATGAAATTGATACAAAATGTGGGAACATTGAATCTGTACTTCTGCTACAACTTCATCTCAAGGAAAAAATAAAACCTTCGACCCACCTCCCCACCCGCTTCCCCCAGTACCATTGCAGACAGACTTCTTACTGGTGTGAAAATATAAATGCACGCATAGGTAGACCAGGAAAACTGTCTATGCCGTATCCCTGTGTGGCATAGATCTAATTAATTTGTAAATATCTCTCATCTTTGGACTATGTCTATTCTCAAGTCTAGATTATGAAATTGGGTGTTAAAATTTCCAGAATGTGTTGCACATAGGTAAGATGTTTGAAAGACTTCTTAGTTTGCAAAAGAGAAAAACCTTAAATTTCTGCTCTGGAAACTGAAGGCTGGTGCATGTTCTTTTATGCTGGAAGCTTGTGTTTCATTGGCTACAATTTAAGTTTTGGTCACTGACAGAGCTTGAAGGCAGACCATACCTAAATAAGCATAAATGGAAAAGTTCCTTGCTCAGGCCTGGATGAATTGCTTTGTGGGAACAATTGGGAGGTTGTTCAGGGTTGTGGCCTTTAAATCTATTCTGACTTGTATTTGACAGATGATCTTTGTGAAAAGCCACGTGTTAGACTGAAAACATTCAAGTTTGCTCTCAGTTCCAATATGGGCATTTTGTTTATTGTTGTTGTTAAATCAGTTCCCTGTTTCAGGATCTCCACTGGGAAATCTTAAATGGCAAAATTAGTCCCTGTGTGTAACTCAGTGCTGTTCTAGGTTCAAAAAACGATGGATCTGTGAAACGAAGTGAACTCGTCAAAATAATTGTCTTACTATCACTGTAGATATTGGTTTTTA